TTAATAAAAATATTTACACATACTAAAGTAAACTCAGAATTGGATTACAAATTCGAACACAATTATATCGTGAAGACAAACTAAGTAGACAATAATGTGACCGACTTGTATAGAACAGAACGAGTGATATGGTGTAAAAAGAACCGGTTAATATAAAACAATAAAGGTTTAAAAATAAAAAAAATTACTAAATTCAAACAAAAACGTCAAACGTGTCATTGTAGGACATCTATAGACATGTTATACGAACTGTGGCATTCATTATTTTAAAAATACTAAATATAACATAAAAACCGAAAAAAAAAACAATAAAAAGTGAGTATACGTAATAAATTAGAAAGCTAAATTAAATATTTATAAAAGTAGCTTAGTTCGGAGATTAGCTCTATGATGATGAAATATTAATTGTTGTTTGTTAAAAGAACCGGTTAATATAAAACAATAAAGGTTTAAAAATAAAAAAAATTACTAAATTCAAACAAAAACGTCAAACGTGTCATTGTAGGACATCTATAGACATGTTATACGAACTGTGGCATTCATTATTTTAAAAATACTAAATATAACATAAAAACCGAAAAAAAAACAATAAAAAGTGAGTATACGTAATAAATTAGAAAGCTAAATTAAATATTTATAAAAGTAGCTTAGTTCGGAGATTAGCTCTATGATGATGAAATATTAATTGTTGTTTCATATTTTAAAACGTTCGCAATGATTTTGTAATGCTTATTTAACTTCCCAGGTGACCATGGGTTACAGAACACTGTTACTATTAGCTCCTAGAGCGTTACAAAGCGTTACAGATTTAATGATAAATCAAAAATAAAGATGATAAAATATATAAAACTAGCTCGCCAGGCAGACGTTGTTCTGCCCTTTTCCTATAAAAATCTTTAAATTCGCAATAAAAAATTTTCTATCTCTCAAGTTGGACCAAAATGCACACAGTGTGCAAAATTTCATTGAAATCAGTTCAGTAGTTTAGGTAGGTACATCGCGGACAAACAACGTGACACGTAATTTTTATATGTAGAGTTTAGTTTCATCCAGAATGTGATTTATTAATATATACGCGTAATCAAGATGATTCTTTACCAAAAATTTGCATACTAATTTTAAAATAATATTTCATTTGTTGGAAACTTGGAAATAAATCTTTAGAGAGACGCTTAGACACATAGACGGGACCGCCATGATGCCAATTTAGGTGGGTTCCCACACACTACTTCTTCTCCTTTATCCCTTTTTAGTCCTTCTGTTTGATAACATCGGTTGCATTCATCTGACGTCAAGCTCATAATAAACGACTTACCACGGGCATGTTTGCTAGATTCTACAAGTATGGCGAACGTTTAATGATATAAGTTCGCCGTTCAAGTACGCTCATTTGCCTGGCTCGGCCACCCTGATTTGGCATTGGAGGTGTGCACTAATCTAATGTACCGCGCCCCCGAAAGTGTCCTGAAGTGCGGTATTTTCCAGTTTTACCAGCTGGTGGTAATGGTGGTTAGGGGGGGGGGGCGTTCCAGCTAACCCGGGAGGGAGAGGGGGGGATAAAATTGAACTTCGCTCTATAACGTACATATGCTGATAGATAAAAATACTCCATTAATTTTGCCAATTTTTTAGCTAAAATGATTTAAACTAAGTAGTCTTTTAACCTAATTTACTATTGTACGGTCAGGCAGGGTTTACAATATCTGGGTGGATAAATTGTGTTTTTCTGTCAAAAAATTCACACTATAGCCATAGTCAGAAAGTTGTCGGTTTTTTACCGCCTTTAACTTTGTCTTTCTCTACAGTGGTGTTGTATTTCCATCGCATTTATGAGAGTTGTGTCTAGCCAGCAACGCAAAGTCAGGAATTTGCGTTTGGTAAAAGCTAAAATTAGGGGCTTTTAAGGTGCTAATTAGGTGCTAAGTTTAAAAATGCTCTAAAATTTTCACCGCAACGATGTGTTGAAATTTGCATTACTGCCAAAACGTATCGATAGCAACGCAGTGACGATAATAGATATACGATAAATATTAATAGCTAGGAATCAGTGTTTATCACTGAGTCGACGTATTTATATTGATATTCTACACCTTCGAATGATCTCAAAAGTGTTTAAAAATATAGACTAGAAATGAGTTGGGGGGTGACTCGAACTTTAGGCCTAGTCAGTTTGAATAGCCTATCATGTAGAGGATGTCATGGGTGTCATGGTTGAATAGGGCCAAAAGGTTCTCATTACACTCCTAGGGGGTCAAAATGCCCAAAAACCAAAAAAATAATTAAATTCTTATTTATAACTCCGCCTCCTTCGGAGGTTCTTACACGGTCCTTACTTCCCACATCCCACTCGTTCATTTCTGATTGAGGCTCGTGAGACTTGTTCGCTTTTTGGTGTTACGATGGCACGCTCGCATAACCATTCTGCAGGGTTATCGTGAATATTATTAATGTTTGGGTAAATTATAGCTATAAGCTCTTCTACAATGGAAACAATTGTACCTAACCCTGGGGGAGAATGATATTATTATCGAGTTCCGGGAATTCACCATTTCCTATTTTAAGCAACAGGTCTGAGAACTGTCCGGTAGTAATATCTCCCTTAATTGGATTCTCATATTTTTGGTAAGGCACAGTTTAGTCACTGAAGGCCATAAATGAGACCGCATCACGCACGCTTTAACTTCGTTCGCTCCCGTTCCTCTGGGCATTACTGGTAAAGTTTGCCGGAAATCGCCTGCTAACAATACAGAAACTCATCCCATTTGACAATTATTATTCCTAATATCTTGTAAAGATCTATTTAGGGTTTCGAAACCCCATACTATACTATATGAGCCGTACTCTCATCCCAAACAATTAATTTCGTTTTCCGGAGTACTTCCGTTTCGTAACTTGTGTTTCGTTTTGTATCAAATCTAGAGGAAGTTTAAACGCGGAGTGTGCAATTTTACCTTCTTCCAGCAGAGTGACAGCAATTCCGGACGATGCGACCACTAAGGCGATATCACCATTGCTTCTCAATTTGGCCAGCAGTACATTTAATAGAAAAGTCTTACTTGTTCCACCAGGAGCAGCCAAAAAAAAAAGATATCACCTACACCTGCGTCGATACTGGAAAGGTGGAAATTATTTTATAATAGATATGTCTTTTTTCATTGGTTAGAGAGCCCTCACTACTCGACACCATTTCTGCTAAGGAATTGACATCGTAACTTGTTTCCTTCAGGTAGTCCTGGTTATTGTGTAAGCCTTTAGACATTTTAGGCTGAGGCAACCCGTATTGGTGTAGGCTTTGTTTTGGCTTCTAATAATGCTAATACAGCTTCTCCTATTGTGAGCAGTCATTTATTGTAGATTTCATCTGCTAGATGTTCGCCTATAATGCCAGAAAGCCCTTCCACTTGTAGTTTGTAGTCTTCTAATAAGTTATCCCTGTATTTTACCTAAAGACTTAGTGCATCTGTAATCTGACAGAACGCCAGCATTGTAGAAAAAAGTTCACGCATTTTAAATGGCGACTCGCATATGACTGCTTCCTTTAGGCCAGAATCCCAATGTTTGTCGTCCTCTAGCAAGCCAAGTTTCGTGCAAGGTAATTGAAAAATTGGTTGGAGGATACCGTTGACGGTCGTCAAGTCATCGAAGGATGATGGACCCCTAACCTCGTGCAGAAGTAAACGAAGATGGTAATACTCTGTGTTATTCGGGTGAACCGTGTACACCCTACATGGAGCTTGATCTTTCATTATTCCTGGTCAGCCATCTACGGGATTTTCTCTTTTCCTTCTCACAAACTTATTTTTTTGCCATACAAAATATGAAGGCACTTCCTTATATAGAAGGGTTTTAGCAAAATCATATGTTTGATATAAATAAAAAAATGGTAACAGTGTAGTTATTGGTGGGCTATTATTAACTTTGTCGGCGAGGTTGTCGGAATTAAAAAAGACTCATTAGCCATTTTCAAGGTGGAGAGCTAAATGTATGACTGTGGGAAATCTTTCATGTATGGACAACTGTAATGCATCGTATGAGCGATGGATTTTACTTATTCGATGCAATGTGTTATCATGGCTCTCAATTACAATATCCCGCTTAGAAAATTGCTGTTCAACAGTAACTAAAGCAACTTCATTTGATGTACGTTGATTATACCATCCACTGTGGCCATTTGTAGGCTTTCTTTCAAAATTTATAACAACGTATTGATACCAACTTCGATGCAAATCACCCCCAAAATAATTTTCTACCCCTTTTTAACCCCGTTAGGTGCTGAGTTTTAATAAAATACGAAACACGTCTTTCATCAATTCTATTAAAGAATGTTTATGCAAAATTTGAAGTAGATTGGACCGAGGAATCACGTTGACCCATACAAACTTTGCCCCCGTTTTTCAACCCTTATAGGGGTGGAATTTCGGAAAATCCTTTCTTATCGGATGCCTACGTCATACAACAGGTTCAAACACCCGCCAAGTTTCAGGTCTCTACGATCAGGTTTAGACTGTGCTTTGGTCTGTCAGTCAGTCATTCAGGACAAAGCATTTTATACATATGTGTAGATTATAGTCACTACGTTACTACCGATACGTTTTGCTCGCAACGCAGATTTCAACAGTTCGTTGTGGTGAACATTTTAGAGCACCTAATTATTAAACTTGGCATCTAATTAGAACCTAAAAAGCCCCTAATTTTGGCTTTTTTTAAATGCAAATTAGTGACTTTGCGTTGCTGGCAAGACAGCTATTTATGAGAGTGAGGGAATCACTTCCGTGTTTGCGCATACACTTGGACACTACAATCCTGTCCTTTACAGATGTCTAGTCTTTGTTAAGACAGGTCGCCGTGACCGAAATTCGGTCTGAAGTACGTTATTATTTATTTAATGTTATTCATCCCAAGATAAGTCCGTGTTATAAAAGAAATAATAAATTACTCATTTGTTTCAGAGAAAAAAAGCTTGTTGTATAGCTGACAAATACCACTATACAAAAAATATAATGGCTGATAGGAAGTAAGTATTAACATGTCGATCGATAATCAAATGAGAGCCGTAGCTCAAGAACAGAGGCGTTTGAGCTAAATTTCATAGCACACGACCAATTTGGTTTTAATCACCACTTGACAGTTGGCACCACTGAATGACAATTTATTTAATTAATAGAATCAGGCGTTACTTTGCGGAAATCCATTATATAAAAGCTTTTACAAAAAAATAATCTCCAAAAATATCCGCGTTATAAAATAAAATGATGTGTCTTACCTAGTATGAAGAAGCAACTCCCGCCCTCCCTTTGAGATTTGCGAAGTAAATTTTTGTAAAAGCTTTTAGACAATTTATTTGCTGATCTGCCACGAGCTGAGTGGTATAGGAAAACACATGGAATATAAATATGGAAAACATGTCTGAAAATTAAAAATATTTTGGAAACACACAGACAAAACAACAACAAAACAACACACACAAAACAGTTGTAAAGTTCGCCTTTGGGTACTGGTTCTAGCAGTCTTTGTACGCTTACTAATACCCGAGTTGAGAGTAGATTAGTAGGATATATATGATGCTGTTGCTTTTATAAACAAATACGTGACGATTATAGTAGTATTATTCAACTAGCCTGGACAGGAAATCATTGCTCTAGGACTTGTGTGTTTTATACCATTATCAGTAGACATAATATTTTCTAGTTTTTAAAAACGTCATATAAGCAGAATTGCAATATTATAAAGAGGTAAAGTTAGGATCTAAGTTCATTCGTTCATTCATTCATTACAGCCAATCAAAAGTCCACTTTTGAACTTAAGCCTCGCCCATAGTTTGCCGCGTGGCATACGTGGTAGAGCCATGCTTATACGTGGTAGAGCCATGCTGCAACTATATTAATAGTATAGTTGTAGCACGAATGGGTCGGCTCGACCGGAGAAGGACCACACTCTCACAGAATACGAGCGTAAAATAGCAGCTTAATGCTGCTGTGCTGTGTGTGTAGAGAACTGGAGACCCATTTTACTGGAAAAGAGGCATTCTATGTTAGTCCTCACGGGTGACAACGCATCTGCATTTTAATTCGCAAGCGAAGATAGATGTAGGTGTCTATGGGCCACAGCAACCACTTACCATCAGATGGACTGTGTGCTTGTTTGTCACTCTTATCCTATAAAAACATATCCCCCACATTTGCCATAGTAGCTTCCCTCTGCCGCGTCTTCTTATGACACCCAAATTAATTCTTTTACGCCTTCGCTATACGACAAGGAAATAATTACTGATCCGGTTTTGAAAATAATTTCACTTGTCGAAAGCTAGACTATACCCATCTTGTTGAAGCCTCAAGATTACCATATGTATTTGTAAATTAAGCCAAAGAAAATTAATCTAAATGCCTGATTTTTATGTCAGTTTTTTTTTCATGTTGCATAGACAAGCCTGCGGGTAACAGTAATAATCTAAAACTCTAACTGAATTTTACATTTCACAAGTTTATTGTGAAATCTAAGTCTATTTAATGTGCACCAACGATCCAACGACATATTATTTCGTTCTATTCTAATGCCATACAGCCCTCAGCATTCATAAGTGTCAATCTTGGAGGAGTGGCGTATGATTTTAAATTGTAATGTTAAACAGTTCTCAACATTATACAGAAACGAGTTTGCGAGTCAAATGCACTGCTAAGTAATTTTTAAATTAATTACTCTAGTAAAAGGGTAACAAGCCGCAGTAATTCAGGAACTGAAGGAAGTACTCGTAGCATTTAACCTCCAAGGCCTTCCGTCCACCTAACCTTCCAATTTGTAAAAAATGGGTATCCAAGTGAATATGTGAAAATGAGTTGACCCTTAGGAATTTTTTTATAGGATAGGGTGACAAACGGGCACACAGTCCACCTGATGGTAAGTGGTTGCTTTAACCCATAGACATCTACATCTATCCTCAATAATTTAATCAAAATGCAGATGCTTTGTCACCCGTGATGACTAAGATGGAATGCCTCTTTTCCAAGGGTCTCCGGTTATCTACACTTACCATACGAAACACAGCAGCATTAAGCTGCTATTTTACACTGGTATTCTGCGAGAGCGTGGTCCTTTCCCGGTCGAGCCGACCCATTTGCACTACAACTATACTACTAATATAGCTGCAACATGGCTCTATCACCAACCAAGGCATCTTGTACAGGCTTTAAAAAGCGCCTCCACTGGGAGAAAACTGGTATTTAACTGGTATTTATTTTCAGGGCAACTGCTGCAGGAGATGCTCCTTCAGAGAAAAATCAAAAGAAGAAAGAGGAAAACCAGAAAGGAAAGGGCCACAAAGAGGAAAATTTGGAGCCTGTGGTTGAAGAAATAACTAAGACACCGTCTCAAATTGCTCGAGAGTATGGAGATTTTTTGATTTTTATTTTGCTTACAAGCTAGGTAGGACTTTTGCTGCGTACGAGTCCGTCTTACCTGATTCTGCCGCTGCTGTATGAAAGAGTTCTGATGTGAAATATAAGATTACTAGCTGTGAGGAATTTCGACTTAGTCTGCAACTGTATCAGAACAAGCTTATTCCAAAAACCAGAAGTGTCCGCACGGAATTCTCACAACATGCGGAAGAAGATATTTCATTTCTAGTGACTGATCGCTCAAGTAAATACAGTTTGTCATATGAACCGGGTCATTCGAGTCGATTATTGAACGTGATCGCAGATATCATTTCCAAATTTCTCCATTGTTATCCAAACTTATCATTACTTCTCCAATCGTATCCTAATTTCTCCAAACAGACTTATTTATCCTAACTCTTCAAACTTATCAAACTTCTTTAAACTTATTTGGATAAGTTAAGTTTGAACTTATACGAACTTCTACTTCTCCAAAGTTATCCAATTTCATACAAACGTCTTAATATCTCCAAAACTATCCAGTCTTCATTACAGTCCTTCACAAGTCCACTGCTGAACATAGGCCTTCCCCAAGGAATGCTACAAAATATCCAGTCTAAGAACACAAAAACTCTCTGACCGCACTCTTAATCTCATGGATGTTAGACGGGAAATGACGCTGCAGTCTTCAGCAGATTTGACAGCATACAGGAAATTGAACAGACAGATCTTCAAATGCATGCCGCGGGACTTACGCAACTTTAATACAGCTCTTATTGAAGAAGCGATCGAGCGGAACCAGGGCCCCAACGTCTTTGCCAGAGATCTGTCTGCCAGAAGGAGCCAACTGAATGTGACAACATCGTTTCCGGGATAGCTGGGACTTTGAGTGAGATTGAGAGGTTCTATGGGCAGCTGTACACTTCATCGCTGTAGCCACATGCAAGTGTGAGTAACGATTCAAGAGCAAATCTTATCCGACACTATTCTGATGATATCCTGGACGTAAGTCTGAGCGAGATTAGAATAACTCTCCAGCACCTTGAAAACGGCAAGTCCCCGGGCGAGGATGGAATTACAGCGCAGCTTCTGAAAACGGGTGTAAAACCGGTACTTGAAGTCCTTCAGAAGCTCTTTAATTACATCCTCCATGGTGGCAACACTCCGGAGGCATGGAGCAGTAGTGCGGTGGCCTCGTTCTTCAAGAAAGATGACAATGCTCTCTTGAAGAATTATAGACTGATTTCCTTTCTATGCCGCGTCTACGTGCTATTTTCGAGTGTCATTAAGAATCGTCTCACAAGCAGACTCGACGACTTCCAGCCTCTCATTTGCTCATCTATTTTGAGTACTAGAAATACCATGCGGTTCGGAATTCCACATAATAATGACCTTACTGCATATCCACTTGCCACATGTGTGAACACCTACTTGCTGATTGTCACTAGACAGTGTTTACTTGTCAATCTCACTCGCACTTGTCACTTCTCAAAATGTAAACCAGGCCGTAAGGCTTGTTTTCACTTTGATTAGTGATTAGTGCAGGTGATTAGTGCAGGTGCTTAGTGTTTAGTAGTAAACACGTGTGGACAGCAATTGATTAGTGCAAGTGATTAATAACCTGTGTAGTAAAGTGATTAGAAGCGTGTTCTGTTTTTTTGCGAATGGACTGCGAGTGTCACTCCCCGCGTGCCCTTCCTTTCCCCTCACTCGCAGCATGCTTGCCACGTTTGGACAGCAGTGCTTAGTGTTTAGCGTTTAGCGTCGGACGCTCGCTTCTGTTAAAAAAATGTCCATACTTCCTGGTCGACTGCTAACAACTGAATTTACTAAACACAGCCACTAAACAGAATTGGACACTACTTACACTACACACCTGCACTAATCAACCGCAAAACTAATCACCTGCACTCGCACTAATCTAAGTGAAAACAGGTCTTTAGTCCCCCTTGCTCACACTTAGCTCACATAGACCCTCTTTGTCTAATAAGAACAAAAGATGCGCATGTAGCAAATATCAGGGTACACAACCTTTCTCACATCCATAATAGTATTAATTCGCTATTTATACAATAGTGAATTATATCATTATAAAGTCTACTTTAAAAACGCATTATTTTAAAATAATTTGTCATTGACCTTTGATAAAAATTTTTACACCCAAGATTACACAAACTTTATCGAAATAGAATATTTTCGCAAATTTTGCACTATATAAATAATATGTGGTTTTATATAATATGAATAATAAGCTAGTCACACTATTTACTGCCTCTCTGTCGGCATAGTCAAAGTACAATATTATAACAACAAATAGCCCATGGAATTAATTTATTTGTGATCGTGGTGTAAAATGAGGTAAACAGTTCTTGGTATTTTTTTTTTCTATGAAATCGTATCTTATGTAGGCTACTTGAGACATATTTTTTTTTTAGAATGGCCCTAAGGTCTGTTGTATGCTATTTTAAGGTTATACATTTACTACCGGACAACCTGTATCATCATTCATCAGGCTGTATATAGGCATCTTTTTTTTTATAAATCTGACAAAAGAACTGGCAGTCCACCTGATGGTAAGTGGCTACTACAATTCATGGAGGCCTACAACAATTTCAAATAAAAAACGTAGATGCATTGTCACCTCTGAGGGTATATTTTACAGGCCGTAATTATACTGTGTCTATAGACTAGACCAGACCAGAGTAAGAGGTTGGTATCTATCTATCGAAACGGAATCCTAGGTAGAAAGGGAATCCTACCACCTCGTACATTTTGATTCTTAATCGAGGATAAATAAGACTCTATGGGCCACTGGTACAAGTCGCGGCACGTAAGTCTAGCGCCGAACAAAATGTGGAAGGGATAGCTGCGCGTGGTATTGCGCATCAGTATGGGGGACGGAATGCGACTGGAGAGGCAATCTACTTACCACCAGGTAGACTGTGTGCTCGCTTGTCACCCTACTTTTATAAAATAATAATAACTACTTTATCTATGCAGTTCGTCGTAATGAAAATAAGCTTCTCTAGCATGCTTTCAAAAGCAACATTAATTGTTTTATCAGGGAGGCTGAGTACAGAGCACGTATGCGAAGAAACCGATTCAAGCGTCGTTGGCCTGAAGTCACTAAAGTGAAGATCAACACAAGGCCTTGGATGCCTCCGCCGCCGCCTGAGAGACTACCACCCGTTGTTAGTTTATTTTTTTTATAGAAGACGGGGCGAATGAGCTTGCGGCTCACCTGATGGTAAGTGTCCACCGCCGCCCATGAACAAATTACCAAGGGGATTGCAGCTGCGTTACCGGCCTTTGGAAAAGGAGTAAGCTCGTTTTTTGAAGTTCTCTAATGGCTGATTTACATTATATATTAAGTTGTCATTACTTGACAAACTAAAACAAAATTTTAAGGACTTGATGCATGTAAACAATTAATAATTAGTACACTTTATGGTATACAACAAAATTTTTAATGGAAATAATTAAAAAGTTAGTGTGCAAGTAAAGAAGTAGAATAGAATTTATTTTTATTATTGTAATAAACCGGCCAAGTGCGAGTTGGTCTCTCGCATGAAGGGTTCCGTACCGTCACACAGGTTTTCAGAAGGGGAGCCCCCTTTAATTTTGAATTTATTTTTATTTTTATTATTTGTTGTCATAGCGGCAACAGAAATACATATTCAGTGAAAATTTCAACTGTTTACCTATTACGGATTGTGAGATACAGCCCGCTGACAGACAGTCGGACGGACGGACAGACGTACAGTAGAGGCTTAGTAATAGGAACGCGTTGGTTACCCTTTGGTTATGGAACCCTAAAAAATATACCACACCTTCATATAAAAAACGGAATGACGCATTTGTTGAAGTTTTTGGCGATACTTACCATTATGTGCAGGCGAGCTGGTGACCGAGTGATAGTTGATGTTCGATGATTTTATATTTAGTATATGTTGTATATTTTATAATAATGTTTTATAGACTATAGACCGTCCAGAGTTCAAAACGAAGAGATGGGTTCCACCATACATGCATCGTCGCCGAAGACGTCCTAAATTGCCGCGCATACCGGCGGAAGAAGTCACTCAGCCATTATACGAGTTCGCCAAGCTGAGAAGGGTGAGTTGCATCATGATTATCATTACAGCCAGAAGGCGTAGTATATTGCAGAAGCAAAGGCTGCTATAAAGCACATTAATGGGTTACCCGTTTTAAACGTGGTAGAGCTATACTGTAGCTATATCAATAGTATAGTTGTAGCACGAATGGATCAGCTCAACCAGGGAAGGACCGCGCTCTCACTGAATACCAGCGTAAAATAGCAGCTTAATACTGCTGTGTTCATATGGTCAGTGTAGAGAACCGGAGACCCTTTTTACTGGAAACGAGGCATTCCATCTTAGTCCTCACGGCTGACAACGCATCTGCATTTTGATTCGCCAACGAAGATAGATGTAGATGTCTATGGGCCACAGTAACCACTTACTATCAGGTGGACTGTGTGCTGGCTTATCACCCTTATCCTATTAAAAAAACTGTAATCATAAATATCCCGTAAAGATCTTGAAATCGAAACTCTCGAGAGGATATCACTTGAGAATAATCCTTTCAGTGGTAATAACGCAGGAGGTATCTCTTCCCTTTGATTTCGTAAGAGTAATCTATGAGAAATATCAGAAAGTTTTGATAACATTTGATAGGTGACTTCTTGAGTTGGCGAACAGCATTCAAAATTCCAACACGCTTTGTACTAAGATCCCTAGTCAATTCGAATTACCTACCTGCCTACGTTCTACGACGTTTGACTAGGAATGCTAACCTTACGGTAGAATTCTGTCATGAGTTAAATAAAAATAACTAAAATTTATCTTAAAGATAATATGAAGAAGTTGGATCCTTTAAAATGAAAAAAAAAAGGACAGGCAGAATTCTACGATTACGCCTTCTTTTACTAGTGAGCCATTAAGTGATAAATTAAGGATATCTTAATGCTTCCTATCTATATTTATATCTTATGAAGATTTTACAACTTAATTGTGTTCATTTTATTCAGTATTTATGAACAGAAGTGATTTTGATATATACTCAAAAATTATTCATAGATATGGCACAACTTCAGGCAAGTAGAAAAGAATAAGATGATGCTCCAAGGCAGCATAGGCTGTAACTCTAAGAAGTATTCTTCAACTGCTTGTGGTATGAAATAAAATATGTTGTTTCTCCATTGATTATGATTTTTATGATTTACAAGATAAACATTTACATAGACGCATCACACCTTGTGGCCGTTGGTAGTTTATTTTCTCTACAAGTTATCCCGACAAATGAGCACACATTCAACCTGATGGTAATTGGATTAAGTGGCTATTAAGACATAGATAACCATTTTTAAATGTTTTTACTCTGTCTGTCTGTCTGTTTATCCGTCCGAGCTAATCTTCGGAATGGCTGAGGTGATGGTGATGAAACTGTTCGAACAGATACAGAGTAATGCTAGGAGGAATCTAAGCTATATTTTATTCGAGAACTTATAGCTTTTTTTTAAATCAATTGGTGCCATGAATAATCTTTGGCTATCTCAAATCTAATATATGGGTTATTCTGTTTACCCACCCTAAAAGATCCACCCTAGGGTGGACATGTGTTCATCTATCCATTTCAGACCGGATGGATAATCAGAATCCACTTTTATTTGTTCTTCTAACATTTTAGCCCAAATTCAGTTCAACTCATACACTTTAATTTTTAATTATTTTTTTATTAAACACAAACGTAAACAAAATCATATAACGTATTTCCGTCACGTATTGCATTTAAATCAAATTGAACTTCCTTGTTTTGAATAATATTATTATGTAATTTATAATTTCATTATAATTCATTATGAATTATTGAGTAGACGTAAATTGATATCCTGGTAAATTCGTCACTTTTTATTCTAATTTATTGTTGTAATGTCTTTGCTATAACAGATGTGTTAGCGAAAATATTTTTGCAAGCATTCCAAAAACGTTGCTTTTGGATGTTTGCCTTTAACTATGTTTTAAACTGTTTTGTGCCAAGTTTCGAACGAATCTGTGGAGTGAAGCACTCCTTTTATTTCAGCGTTGACATTTTAAACAAGAAGTATGTACATATATTTTATAGGTATGCTAATAGCTACTAAGTGTCTTGGGCCAGTTTTTCTCATGTTTCTTTAAATAACTGCCGAGGGAGAAAATCAGAAGGAAAATAATATATACGAATTCCGATTATCCAACCCGTTTGGGGTGGATAGATGAAATTATTGAACTTAGGGTGGGTTTATAGGACCCAAATATATTATATCATTAATAGATCCTATCCAGGCGAAGCCGGGGCGGATGGTTAGTCTTTCGTAATATACATAATAGGTATAATAAAATGGTTCTAAATAAAAAAAAAATCCACTAAGGACCACTATACCGAAACAGATGAAGGAGATGAAGGTTCTACCTTAATACACAGCATGTTTTACAAAAATGACGTTGGTGGAAGGAGTAATCATAAGAATTTTACAACGATTAATATAATATTACACCCATATTTGACAATATGGCTGCGCTTTTTTCTCCGTGTGCAATGTTATCTTTTTTATTAAACAATTTTTAAAACACGAAATGTTAGCCCAAGCTTACATTAATGCTGAAAATCACATCCAAATGTTTTCAGTAATTGTGGAGATTAGCGTGCACAAGCGCAGAGACAGTCAAATAAAAAGAAGTCTGTTTACGATTTTATTATTTAAATAGCTTGACCGTTGTGTTTAGGCCCAAAAATCATTTGAGACGGCATCCAATCGCCTTCGACTTAGCGAATTGCCCGATGGATGTTAGGTGTCACGCGCGTTGCGGGGAGGGGGCATCGGTATGCAGCTTGGGAAGCTGCATACCGATGCGTTTGGCGCTCGTGGTCGAAAACAGTAGCTTGAGAGCAGCAGTGCGGTGAATTAGCGTATTTTGGTGACCGCTGCATATATTTCGCGCGACCAGGTTTTTTGGGTTTATGGTCTAGATTTTTAGTATTTGTGCGCGTTACTTCGCCACTGAATTGTGGTTTCGTGAAGACCGCCTCGGTTTAGTTTGTCTAAGTTGTAAGTTCGTGACAAGAGGCTTATTTTGAATTTGAGTGATTAGAGTAATTTCGTTGTAATTATACCCACGCGTTAAGAGCCTTTTGTGTGTTGACTCTGTAGTTAGTTTGCTTGTCAGCTAGGCTGATATTGAATTCTATTCTTGCGGCGTAGTATCTAATATCGTACGAAGGAATTTAGTTTGTTGTTTGGGAACGCTGAGCTTTGTGACACTCGAGAAGAGGCCGCGTTCGATCCCGTGTTTGTAAATTAAATTTGTGCTACGTGAACCCGGAACCTTGAATATTGAACTTTGAACGACTGTTAGTTACTTGTGTCGGGTATCACGTGTTTGATTTTACGATGAACGTTGAATTAGTTGAGTTGAAGTTAGTTAAATGTACAATAAAGTTGATAGACTGAAATAGTGACATGAAGAAAGAAGTTGTCACTTGTTGACGCCTGCTGGAGTGATGCAGCATTGTGGGGCAGCATGGGACCAGGCCGCTGCCCGGTCACCTCAGCTGGGCCAGGTCACAAAAATATACACACCACTAAACACCACTTTACATGCACCTACAACTACCTACGGCCTGACCGAGCCTTGGTGCAGTCTTAGCTTCGGATCCAGGTACGTACTATTTATTTACCTAGCCTTCTCCCTATTGTGTAGTATGATATGTCAATTGTCCATAAGGCCACTTGGGCCCGAACCCTCGGCTGCCCGTCGAGGAGGCTACTATGGGCCCTAGCCAAGGCGACCTTTGCAGGGGCAGCTGGAGGCCGTAACAGTTACGAGACGTATTTTTTGATGTTCGAGATTGTACGTTCTTTGTAGATTAGAAACGTGTGCTACGTTTATTAGTCTCTGATATACCAAGAGTCATAACGTTATCAATAATAAAGTAGAAGGCAATGCGTGAAAGCATTGGGTACAATGTTGTAAGTATAATATCAACTGATCGGATGAGATGATATAGGTCACATTTTCTATAGGGTCACAAACTGGTTGTATAGCAGTGGTGTGCCGTGTCCTTCTAGAAGAAAAGACACCATCACAGCTTGTGAAAAGGGACGTGGATGATGTGATCGAGAACGGAGACAGATATTATAGGCAGTGTATGTTAGCACTCAAGTGCTATAAAGGTCAGTTTATCATAATTATTATTTTTGTGAATGCGAGTATATTTCGTAAAGAAATTTATTTTATAAGCAAGCAATTTATTCATAAAAAGCTACTCCTAGACAGACCTATATGGAAACAAGATAAAGCGTAAAGGACTTTAAAAGTATTTTTTTATAGGATCGAGTGACATACGAGCACACAGTCTACCTGATGGTAAGTGGTTGCTGTGGCCCATAGACATCTACATTTATCTTCGTTTGCGAATCAAAACGCTGATGCGTTATCACCCGTGAGGACTAAGATGGAATGCCTCTTTTCCAGTAAAAAGGATCTCCGGTTCTCTACACTCACCATACGAAACACAGCAGTGTTAGACTGCTATTTGACGCTGGTATTCTGTGAGAGCGTGGTCCTTCCCCGGTCGAGCCGACCCATTCGTGCTCGAACTATACCACTAATATAGCTACAGCGTCGCTCTACCACGTAAAAGTTTGTTTATTTTCTTGATACTTTTATTTCCTTAGCCAATGCTTGTTGTTTACGACGTGTATCTTTTACTAGCTATATTGATATAATTTTTTTTATAGGATAGGGTGACATACGAGCACACAGTCTACCTGATGGTAAGTGGTTGCTGTGGCCCATAGACATCTACATTTATCCTCGTTTGCGAATCAAAATGCAGACTCGTTGTCACCCGTGAGGACTAAGATGGAATGCCTCTTTTCCAGTAAAAAGGGTCTCCGGTCCTCTACACTCACCATACGAAAAACAGCAGTGTTAAACTGCTATTTCACGCTGGTAATCTGTGAGAGCGTGGTCCTTCCCCGGTCGAGCCGACCCATTCGTGCTACAACTATACTACTAATATAGCTGCAGCATGGCTCTACCGCGTAATAATTAATATTGTTAAAAGCTTGTAATGATGATTATATTATTTTGCTTATGCCCAAATTTCACAGAAAGATTATTTGGAGTACTGTTACTAATACGAGGGTTTTGGCTAAGTCATAACTATGGACAATTTTTTCAAATAATACATACTAAAAAATAAAAGGACTCTAGTACAGTCGTACATTCACCCTCACTCTAAAGTAAATCATGATCATTGATCACAGTTACAGCTGTACGCCTGTGGAAAACCTTATCTTTATATACTCCACGTAATCAGTCCCTTTTTTCCTTCAGAAGTATCCTCAAAGTTTATTTCATTATGGAACCCTAACATTTCCCGCCATTTTACCCGTACTTTCTTATTTCTGCTCTATATATATATATATATATATATATATATATATATATATATATATATATATATATAATTGTTTTAATATATATAATTGTGCAATAAAGAAAAGTTATGAGTGCGTCTGTGAAAGGGCAATTTTTACCTTTGCAACCTAACAGTCAACTTACTGTTGTATTCCGGTTTGTAGGGTAAGAGAACCAGTATAATATCAGATTGTGTGACATTTCACTATGTTAAGGAGACTTAAAAAAGAGGAGGTTCCATATTAGACTGTATGTTTTTTATTCTTTTTGTTTTTTTTTTTAATGAAATACTAGCGATGTTATTAACATTACTAGTATTCCCTTTAAGCACTCCTCGTAAGATTAAAATGCTTGCGTTAGAAGTATTTCAGGAAATTTGTCGAATGGCGGATTCGAAATGCAGATTCGACCTTTCGATTTCGAGTTCCCAATTCCCATTAAGCTACTGTCGCTTAATATATTGTTATTGTTTCTTATTAAATATGTTATACTACTTCAGTGGTGGTCCCATGTAAGTTTAATGAAAAATTGCATCTTTAAGTCTAAATAATTAAAAATTAAAAATTTTGTACAAACGACTTCCATACAAATTATTAACAATAACTCAAAAACTATTAGTCAGATCTTGATCAAATTTATATGGGACCACATGTGAAGCACCAGATTTCAAATAAAAAAGAATCATCGAAATTGGTCTACCCAGTACAAAGTTATGATGTAACACACATAAAAAAAACATACAGTCCAATTAAGTACCGTCTCCTTTTTGAAGTCGGTAGAAAAGGGGATGAAATGATATTTAACTGTTTAGAAGACATTCTAGTTGTTGTTACCATATAATAGCTTCTAATGTTCTGATTCTATACAAAGTGTCTTAGCATCTACTATTACAAGCTTAATTTATTACCAGCAAGAAACCCAATTGCCGTGTAGTGGCGGTTAAGAATATCCACTACCCCATATCTTCCCGTGGGTGTCGTAAAAGGCGACAAAGGGAAACAGGCAGGAGATGGGCAGCAGTATCTTCCTGATAATAGCCAAAATAACAATAAAAAAAAACTGCGGTTGCCAACCCGCTCGCCAAGCGTGGCAACTATGGCAATATACCCCCCATGAGCAATGACAATAATAAACGGCCCCCAGTCCCCGGCGGCCCCGCTATTCCTGGCTACGGTGGCGACCATGGTAACGGCGGGGCAGGGGGTGCTAAGAATCTCCGGTGGAGGTTCGGTTGCCACCTACGACGACTCGACCTGGCAACATACAACGCACGCACCCTGAGGACTGACGAGAAGATTGTGGAGCTGGAAGAAGAGATAGACAAGTTACGCTGGCATATTATAGGATTATCCGAAGTCCGAAGAGAGGGGGAGGACACGGTAATCCTCGAATCCGGCAACTTGCTCTATTACCGGGAGGGCGACCATCTGTCCCAAGGAGGTGTCGGATTTATCGTCCACAAGTCTCTCGTTAACAATGTTGTAAAGATTGAGAGTGTGTCGACGAGGGTTGCGTACCTTATACTCAGAATCACCAAACGGTATTCGCTGAAGGTCATACAGGTTTACGCACCAACCTCGGCACACCCCGATCAGGAGGTGGAGGAAATGTATGAGGATATCTCTAGAGCCATGCATTCCTCCAAAACCCAATATACGGTGTTAATGGGAGACTTCAATGCAAAACTAGGCACAAGAGAGAACGGTGAGCTGAAAGTAGGGAAATTTGGAATAGCGCAACGGAACCCAAGGGGCCAGCAGCTGGCCGACTTCATGGAGAAAGAGGGACTCTTTATGATGAACTCTTTCTTCCAGAAGCGGCCCCACAGGAAGTGGACTTGGTCGAGCCCCGACGGTTCGACAAAAAATGAGATTGACTTCATTATGACGACCAGACGACAACTGTTCAGTGATGTCTCAGTGATCGCGAGGGTGAAAACCGGCAGCGATCACCGAATGGTTAGAGGCACACTGAACCTAAACGTTAAGTTGGAGAGGTCTCGTCTAATGAAGTCAACGCTCCGTCCCCCTCGTGCTCTAATCCAAAGTCCCGAAACCTTTCAGCTCGAGTTACAAAACCGTTTTCAGTGCCTAGAAGACTGCAATGAAGTGGACGATTTGAATGACAAGCTCGTGGAAACTGTCCATGCGGTCGGAGCTAAGTTCTGCAAGACCCGCCGCAGAAGAACACAAAAACTCTCCGATCACACTCTTAATCTCATGGCTGTTAGACGGGAGATGAAGCTACATTCTTCAACAGATTTAACAGCATACAGGCAACTGAACAGACAGATCTCCAAATGCATGCGGCGGGACTTACACAACTTCAATACAGCTCGTATTGAAGAAGCGATCGAGCGGAACCAAGGCTCCAAAGTCTTTGTCAGAGATCTGTCTGCCAGAAAGCGCCAACTGTCAAAGCTGAAGACAGAGTGTGGCAGCATCGTTTCCGGGGCACCTGAGATTTTGAGTGAGATTGAGAGGTTCTATGGGCAGCTGTACACGTCATCGTTGGAGCCGCACGCAAGTGTGAGTAACGATCCAAGAGCGAGTCTTATCCGACATTATTCCGATGATATCCCGGACGTCAGTCTGAGCGAGATTAGAATGGCTCTCCAGCACCTTAAAAACGGCAAGGCCCCAGGCGAGGATGGAATTACAGCGGAGCTTCTGAAAGCGGGTGGAAGACCGGTACTTGAAGTCCTTCAGAAGCTCTTTAATTTCGTCCTCCATGGTGGCATTACACCGGAGGCGTGGAGCAGAAGTGCGGTGGTCTTGTTCTTCAAGAAAGGCGACAACGCTCTCTTGAAGAACTACAGACCGATTTCCCTTCTGAGCCGCGTCTACGTGCTGTTTTCGAGAGTCATTACGAATCGTCTCGCGCGCAGACTTGACGACTTCCAGCCTCCCGAACAAGCCGGTTTCCGAAAGGGCTTTAGCACCATAGACCACATACATACCATTCGGCAAATTGTACAGAAGTCCGAGGAGTACAATTTGCCACTATGTCTGGCGTATGTGGACTATGAGAAAGCCTTTGATTCCGTCGAAATTTGGGCGGTGCTGCAGTCCCTTCAGCGATGCCAAGTTGACTGTCGGTATATCGAAGTGTTGAAGTGCTTGTACAGTAGGGCTACGATGGCTATCCAAGTACAGAACCAGAGTACGAAACCTATCCAATTGCAGAGAGGTGTAAGACAGGGTGACGTCATATCCCCGAAACTCTTTACCGCTGCATTGGAAGATGTTTTCAAGCTTCTGGTAGTCCTTATGGCAGAATCGCTGGAGGACCTAACCACTATGCACAATGACCTCAATAGTGTTTCCCAACGGATAGGTCTTAAGATGAACATGGACAAAACAAAGATCATGTTTAATGTCCATGTCACACCTATGCCGGTAGTTGTTGGGAACACTAAGCTCGAAGTTGTTGACGAGTATGTTTACCTGGGACAAATAGTCCGACTAGGTAAGTCCAACTTCGACCGAGAGGTCAATCGACGGATTCAACTCGGTTGGGCAGCGTTCGGGAAATTACGGCACATCTTCTCGTCAGGTATACCTCAAAACTTGAAAACGAGACTGTACACCCAGTGCGTGTTGCCAGTGATGACATACGGAACTGAGACGTGGTCCTTCACTGCTGGCCGGATGAGGAAGCTCAAGGTCGCTCAGCGAGCTATGGAGAGGGCTATGCTCGGAGTTTCTCTGCGTGATAAACTCAGAAATGAGGATATCCGCAGTAGAACTAGAGTGACCGACATAGCCCAACGGATTAGTAAGCTGAAGTGGCAATGGGCCGGCCATATAGCTCGAAGAACCGACAACCGATGGGGAAGAAAGGTTCTCGAGTGGCAGCCTCGTACCGGCAGGCGAAGTGTAGGGCGTCCCCCCACTAGATGGAGTGACGACCTGGTAAGATATGCAGGAAGTCGATGGATGCAGGTGGCTCAGGACCGTGCTTTGTGGCATTCTTTGGGGGAGGCCTATGTTCAGCAGTGGACTTGTGAAGGGCTGTAATGATGATGAATGATGAAGAAACCCAACGGGACTTTTAAAAACATAATAATTTGCAATATAATATTTTATACAATTAAGTATGAAGACATTCAACAATGGGATGGTTGCGACACTCTTATTCCCAGGGGTTATTAATCTAGTACTTAAAAAGTATAATAATCATAACAAAACAATTTTCGTTTAGTAAAATTTTAAGCATTTTGATAAATAAGTTGAATTTAAAAATATTAGTTGTTTCGATATACCTTTCAAAAAATTAACCTTTTGTGCCGGGCATAGAGGGCTTTGTATAGATTTTTACGCTAGTTTAAGGAGAGTGCTTTTTTCGATGAGCTAACACGTGTCCTGCATTCACCGCAGTAAAACATTGTGAGGAAACCTGCATCTCAGGGAAGTCAAATGGTGACACCTCGGGGGACTCTTCTTTGCTTCAAAAAATCCACCAAAATAAAATGGAGGCTTATTTCCAGCATATGCAAATATTATGTTTTTTTTTTATAGGAATAGGGTGACAAACGAGCACACAGTCCACCTGATGGTAAGTGGTTGCTGCGGCCCATAGACATCTACATCTATCCTCTATTACAAATAAAAATGCAGATCCGTTGTCACCCGTGAGGGTTAAGATGAAATGCCTCGTTTCCAGTAAAAAGAGCCTCCGGCCACCTGCACTCACCAAGCGAAACGCAGAGGTAAACCTCTACTTCACGCTGGTATTCTGTGAGGTCGTGGTACCACCCCGGTTCGAGCAAAAGCTGCCGCGTGGCTCTACTACTGTTAAAATATTATGCAGGTTGTTATTTTTCTTTTTATACATAATAAGTTCATAACGTTAGGAAAACCGCAACTCCAACTGAACCAGTTGCTCTCATCGTTCTTCTACCACGACAATAAGTACACTGTGAAAATGACTGAAGCGGAGAAAGGGCTCTTGGTGAAACACCCTGATAATATACAAGGCGAACCTGATCTCATGGCGTAAGTACGATATGAAATAAATAAGTGCTAAGTCCTTTAACATTATTGCTGTAATGTTGTGACTACTAACGTTTCTGCTTCTCGTTGGCGGTTTGTTTAATTGCCTCAGCAATGGCGTTGCGGTTTTTTATAGAATAAGGGTGACAAACGAGCATACAGTACAAATGTTAGTGATAGGATACTGTGACAATAAGACCTCTATCCTGGATCAAGATTAAAATGCAGATTCGTTGTCACCGCTGAGGATTAAGATTGAATGCGTGCATACGAAACACAGCAGCATTAAGCTACTAGTAGTGTAGTTGTACCACTTCTAGACCACCTGAGTCAGACGTGGTTCAACGACGTTCGTCGACTCACGATCCTAAAAAAAAAGGTTTTGGCATGCTCTGATCACGAATCCGCGGTCATTTTTGTGTAGAATGCACGGTTCCGGAGATGTGTAGATCAATTAGCTAATATCTAATTGATATCCGGTAAGGGCCTCCACCGTCATTAGCGTCCCATTGTTCCTATTTCTATTGTTCTATTGTTCATTAATCACCTTCATTGCAGCGTGTGCGTCGACTATATCAGTGCTATTGTATTATACTTCTTTGTTCCTAATTATACAACGCTAATCTGAATCATCAATAAAACACATTACATAATTTTGTTACAATTTTTATTTATAAAATACAAAATCTTATTACTTATTATCTATAACATAGGAGCGAAACATCTCATCCACTAAAATATCGTTGTACAATGTGTTCCTTGTAAATATACTCGTAAAACTATGTATTGAACATCCTTGAAACTTATATAGCAAATACATAAGCAATATTCGCCACAAACTGAAGTCCACTCATTCTGAATCCTATCAACATTCCAGTTCCATCTTTTACAATTTCTTTTTAAAAACTCTAGATGATATCGTACAGGTGATCGTCCATATGAATCAAAATATTGACCGACGTCATTCGTATCGATATATAAAGCTACCCAATGTGACCCTGGTTTATCATCTGTATCCAAATTACATATTATATACGTTGGTACGTGGGTATACATAGGCAGTCTATTAGCTGCATAAACATTATTTTCTAGACTGGGGTGAATCTTTTTCAGATGTTGTACATCTAGTGTATCCATGATATTACTGCTATTAGTAGATTATTACAGTACCAATCTACTCAATGAATAACATAGGAATGGTCAATTATAGTGATTTCTAAATATTAAATTGCATTTTTGTGTTATACAAATCGTACTTGAGTCATTGATCACCAAACAAAACACAATACGAAGAAATGTTGAGATAGGCAACGGAAATGTGAGATAAACTGATATGTTTCTAAATATTAAATTGCATTTTTGTGTTATACAAATCGTACTTGAGTCATTGATCACCAAACAAAACACAATACGAAGAAATGTTGAGATAGACAACGGAAATGTGAGATAAACTGGTTGACGCATAAAGTAATTATCAACTCATTACGGAAATACTTTAGATTAGAATTTTTACGTACTGGTGGTATATAAGACCAACAGACGCAGTCATCGAGTTAGTGTACGGTCGTTTGACTACAGTGGATCTATCAATAGTACATTTGTGTTACTTCAATACACCAAAGGCTATGGATGTAAGTGTTTATTCTATTGACTAAATTACTTTTTTTCTGTTATTTTCATGTGTGTGTATTATTTTATTTAAATATTGTGTATGTATATGATTAAGCCGTGGTAACTCAGATGGTTAGCGCTAGCTGTAAATTTCACAGTACGCGACCCGGGTTCGATCCCCGCCAGCACCAATTAAATTGTTAATCGCAATTTTAAGTGCTTATTACCACGTGCTTGGTGGTGAAGGAAAACATCGTGAGGAAACCTGCATGTCTGAGAAAATTTCGAAGGCATGTGAAGTTCGCCAACACACATTGAGGGAGCGCGGCGGACATTTCCTTGCTCTAAAACCCTCTCAGAAATGAGAGGAGGCCTATGTTCAGCAGTGGACTTTAATAGGCTGTAACTTTAACTTTTTTCACTTTTATGATTAAGTGTTAACAAATTGATATTAACATGATAACTGTGTTGTTGCAGAAATCATTGAGCTTCGATGAAGATACCTATAAACAGTATTACTACTCGCCACTCTCCCCTCAAGAAGAGAGTGATAACCTCGTCATTAATAATAACACATGCGATGGTGGAAAAAGAAAATCGCAATCGATTGATCATTTTTTTGAAGCTGAATCAAAAATAAAAAAGAGGAAGGGAAAACTTCAGTGAAGTGTGCACCAGTGCTTTTTTCTCCACAATCATGGAAGAGAATACGGAACTATTCAATAGCGAATTAAATCAGGAGTTGTCTAAAGTTTGTGAAGAAATGGAGAGGGGTCAACTGTTCGATTCGTCATACGATGATGAGTTGTATCATTACTGTGCGATGGTTGAAACACAGTTTAAGTATGTAAAATAAACATTCATTTCGATCATAATTTACATATTGTCTTATACAGTTTTTAATAAATTTAAACATTTTAGCAGTCAACCACTACAACTTGGAAGAGGAACGAAGCGAACGTGCAGCAAAGAATCCAAGATCATCAAAAAACCAACAACGGAAGCAGAAGCGCATACCTCTGCAGGGAACAGTATCAGTAACGATGATCAAGTGGAATGTCCAACGTGCCATATATTTATCAAGAAACGGTATTTAGCTAATCATTTTAAAAGTAATGTTCATAAAAATAATCTTTTAAATTCACATAATTCTTTATCAAACGTTAGTGTTATTGAATCTGCTTTTGGAAATAGGATTTTAACTTATAAAATCAAGAGTAGAGTAGATCGTTCGACATGGGTAAATTTTGAAACTCCTGAACTATTTTTAAATTCTATTAAAGATGATATTTTATTTTTATTACAAGAGTGTATTCATCAACACATAATTTTTAAGGTAAACTTCATATTGCATGCTGATTTTGTTCAACAAACTAAAGATATTCATGATACGTTCGATTTTCAAACGCTTAACTATATTATTTGTCAAGGAGATGACTTAAATATTTTTCTTTCATCTTTAAATGATACAATTACTACTAAAATTAGTGCTTTCGAAAAAAAAGATAGTGGATGGAGTCTAAAAAACATAAAATCTATAGACATGAATGTTAATAAATTTAACCCCCTACGCGGTACTTCATACATAGATCTTCCTCGTGACATAAAATTAAAAAAGGCTGTTATAAATGTAAAAAACAAGGATTATTTTTGTTTTAAATGGGCGTTACTCTCGGCGTTATATCCTGTAAACAAACACACCGATCGGGTATCATCTTACGTTAAACATGCAAATAAACTTAAATTTGATGGTATTTCCTTTCCGGTTAAAATTTCTGACATAGCAAAAGTAGAGAAATTAAATGATATTAGTATTAATGTTTTTGGGTTAGAATATAATAAAGAAAAACGATGTAATTCTATAGTAGGTCCATTATTTTTAACAAAGTGTCGTAAAGATAGACATATCAATTTATTATTTTTTTCCAAGGATACAAAAAATCATTATTGCTATATAAAAATTTATCGCGGTTAGTTAGTAAACAAATTTCAAAAGACGGTCACATCATGTACATTTGTGAAGCATGTCTACTTCGTTTTCCATCTCAAGAAAGGTTAAATAACCATGAACAATACGATTGTGCCCACATTTGTACAGTATTACCAAACAGTGAAACTTTAAAAAAAAAGAATTGGTTTGGTCAACCTATTTCAAATGATAAAATTAAATTTGATAGTTATGAAAAAAAGTTAAAGATACCATTCGTAGTTTATGCTGATTTTGAAGCATTTTTAAAACCAATAGAATCATGTTCTAACGATCCTTCCAAACCTTTCACTCGTAATATTCAGAAACATGAAGTACATAGTTTTGGATATTATATAAAATGTTCATATGATGATAAATTATCAAAATATGTAACATATTGCGGACCCAACTGTGCACAAGTGTTTATGGAAAGTTTATCTAACAATCTAAAAGAAATAAATAGACTTCAAAAATATCCACCACTTCCGCTAACAAATGAAGACAAAAACCAAATTTCAAATGCAACCATTTGTCATATTTGTGAAACTGAGTTGGCAAAACATTTTTATGATTTTGATTGGTACACTGGTAGTTTTATAGGTGTTGCTCATGAATCATGTTGTTCGAAGATCAGAACACCTCGTTATATACCAATATTTTTACACAACCTTAGTCACTATGATGCTCATTTTATTGTTCACGCGTTAAACTTTTGTGATGGTGAAGTCGAAGTTATCCCTCAAAATAAAGAAAAATATATATCCTTTTCCAAAAAATTAAAAGTGAATAACCACGAAATTATATTGAGATTCTTAGATTCATTTAAGTTTTTATCGTGTAAATTAGAAGAATTGGCCAAAAATCTCAGTAATGATCAATTTCAAGAATTACGTAGAAATTACCCTAATGATGAAGATTTCTTTCGTTTAAAACGGAAAGGTGTTTATCCATATGAACTTATGACTAATTATGATAGTTTAAGTCTAACATCGCTCCCTGAACAAAAATGTTTTTATAGTTCACTCACAGATTCACATATTTCAAATGATGATTACAATCATGCTAAAGATGTTTGGGAACATTTTGGGTGTTGTAATATGCTAGATTATTCAAACCTGTATTTAAAAACAGACGTTTTACTTTTATCCGATGTATTTGAAAACTTTAGAAAGTTATGTATTAATACATATGATTTAGACCCTGTCCATTATTACACAGCACCCGGTTTAAGTTGGGATGCAATGTTAAAATATACAAAAATAGAATTAGAACTTTTAACAGATTATGAGAAAATTGCATTTATTAGATCAGGTATCAGAGGTGGTGTATCTCAATGTAGTAATCGTTATGCTAGAGCTAATAACAAATACATGGAGGATTATGATACAGGGAAACCAAATTCATATATCACATATTTTGATGC